ACCTTACAGGAAATTGGAATAAATGGTCTTTATCTCAGTCGGATAAAATCCATTTATGATGTATCAGTCAAGGTTTTACTAGAGAAACAGATGCAACACAAGATGTACAAATGTATAAGGAATGACAGGATTGGCTTAGGACGGTCAGCCACGGAGTCAGGTGAGGAAGTATGCAGAAGGCGTCTGCGTACTGGAGACTGAAGGATTCACTCCAAGCCTGGAGCTTACTGCAGTGTCATTGCAAGTCTGTATCCGGAGGCCAATGGGTCTTTGACTGAAGACTGGCCAGTCTATGCTGGAAGGCTAAAGGATCCAAGACGGAAGCTGAAGAGCCTGTGCTAGAGGTTGGGAGACAATGTCCAAGCTGAAGGTGAAGACTGGAGTGCCTCTGAAGAATGGAAGTATGTCTGTCTTTCCTTGTCCCTCCTCCACCCCTTTAAAAAAAAAAAATGTATTTGGTACAGGGTCTCATTATGCAGCCTGGTCTTCTAGTGATCCTCCTGTTTTAGCTTCCCCAACATTAGGATTACAGGAATCACCATCGCTCCCAGTTTTGGTGTCTGGCTCAGTGTGCCCCAGGGTGGGGCCAGCACGGCAAGCAGTACAGGGGATCAAACTCTGGGTCCTCGTGCTTACCTAGGCATGCGCTCTCACTGCCGAGCAGTCTCTATAGCCACTTCGTTTCCCTTCTGTATCATCCAGGTGATAAGCCACTCTAGGGTGTAAAATTGCTGAGCCAATTAAGTTAGGTTCCTAAACTTGTCAAGTTGACACAGTCAACCAGTATACCGTCTATAACAAATCAACAGCCAATATTGTACTAAATAGACAGAAACCAAAAGCTTTTACTGTAGAATCAGGAACAAGACAAAGATGTCCATTATCTCACTCTGTACCATATAGTTCTGGAAACTTTACTCAGGGCAATTAGACAAGAAATGAAGGGACTACAGATAGTGTAATAGTTGATACATTGTGTCAAATGAAGTTTAGAAGCTTATCAAATATCTCAGCAGCGGGCCAGGGTCCACACTGTGTAAGTGTCCTAAGCCTGTGTGAGAGGAGGGCGTAGAGGTGGTAGGTGGTGTGGGTGAGAGGACCACCGTAGAGGGGAGAGTCCATACAGTGAAGGGAGGAGAGGAGGCCCGTTCTCCCAACTTTTGCTCTTGTTGCTGTTGCTGTCTTCTGCTTTGCACTGCTGCCCTCTGCCATGTACCACATTCACTGGAGCCTCCTGATTGTGGACTGAAACCTCATAAACTGTGAGCTAAATAAATAAGCTTTTCTTTCTTGCAGGAAAGGAAGGTGCTAAATTATTTGCTGATAACATGCTGGTCTACATATAAGACCCCC